CCTGGTCAACGAACAAAATGATATAGAAGCAGAAGTGGAGAAGCGGATTATGGCGGCTAATCGCTGTTATTTTGCTTTGCAAAAGCATTTGAGTGGTAGTCTCCTCTCCAAATCTGTGAAAGTCAGGCTCTATAAGACTCTCATCCGGCCGGTTCTCATATATGCTTCAGAAAACTGGACCCTTACCCAAGCACATGGATTCTCTCTCCTGAGATTCGTAAGAAGAGTCCTAAGGAGAATATGCGGTCCAGTTATAGTTGATGGAGAGTGGAAACGCCGTTCTAACAATGAACTGAGGCTACTATATAGGGAACTGGATGTAGTCCAGTTTATAAATCTAATGAGACTTAGGTGGCCGTACATGTGATTAGAATGGAGCAAGATGAAATACCAACCAAAATCCTAAGGGAGTGAATCTTAAGTGTGCAAAGAGCAGGCCGACCACGACTTCGATGGGAGGACTGCCTGGCTTTAGATGCCCGGACCATATTGGATATCTGCAGTTGGAAGGTAGCAGCACTTGATAGAAACCACTGGCGGTCGACACTAGAGCAGGCCAAGACTCGACTGCAAGGGTCCTAGTGCCAGATAAGTAAGTACTTGATTTAGTACAGACTCCAGGAACCGATGAAGATATATTTTACGAGGACGAAACAATTTGCGGTTGAAGAAGAAAAGATTTGTGTTGCATCGTTTTCAAATTATTTGTTTTTCCTTACATTACTTTATTTAAATTTTATGTTGTTTCGAATTTTGATTTAGTCATTTATAAACTTTTATTTTTATTTAATTAAGTTATTATTTTTAAATTATAATTAGCTTATGTTCTTCAAAGACAAGTTTATTACAATCATATCTAGTTTGATTAAATTGTTATGAAGGTATTCCTTAAAACTTATAAAACTACGATTGTTACATAATTCATTTAAATAGTTCTAAGTAAGCAAAAGAAAAATATAGTAATAAAAAATTAATATTTATTAATTTCAATTATATGTTACCTAGTTTCACTTGCGGATCCAGGATTTAATTTTGGGGGAGGCTTCAGCCCAATAGTTTTTTTCTTTCATATATATAACGATAATTGCTTTGGGAAAAAAAGAAACTAACTATATGAAATAGTGTTTAAGTAATACTTGAAGTCCTATTAAATGTAATTAATTACACGAACAATAATACTTGAAGAGCTAATTTTTTAATATGTTTTTTTCATAAAACAGGATTACATTTTACTATTTTGGGGGGCTTCAGCCCGAAAGCTCTCCCCTCCCCCCCCTTTAAAATAATAGAAATATATTTTATTTAAAATAGAAGTTACCAACTACAGAAAGTACATTTCACTTTAATATCTACTTAAAAACCTTGGTATATTGTTAGGAAAATCAATGTCTACGAATATTTCAACTTGCTGTAATATTTGTGTGCCTTTCACTATACATTATGGCTTACTAGATTTCGTCCATTGACATCAATTTTCCTAAAATTTGCCAAGGTGTTTATGTAGATATGCAATTCCTTTAGGACAGTTATTAGTAGTCTATTTTAAAAAAAATAAATTATATTTATAGTCTTACTATCCTTCTATTTATCCTACTCTTTAATTATTAATTGTAACAAAACCTATAAATAATAGTATGGAGTTAGTTGTTTGGTTTAGTGCAGTTGTGGTAAGTAATTATTAATTATGTTATATCAGTTGTGAATTGATCTGAGCTTGAACATGGGTACTTGATCCTTCTACAAGTGGTAGGCATTATATTTATTATTTGAAATATTTAATGTATTACATGTTAGCAAAATAATTGAGATATTTATGATTGTGACATCAAACAAGATCTTCGATCTGTATTTGTAGGATATGCTTTCTCTAGTTAGTGTCTTTTTTCGGGCCATGGATGAAAGATTAGCCATCTTTGTATAATATTTTCATTTTCTGTTCTATCGAATCCTGAATTGATGAAATGCGTAAATGACTGGTTCATTATTTTCTGGGGTTTGAGAAACATAAGGCTTTGGTTTTGGAATCTTTCAATTATACCTTAACAATAATAATTATCAATTATTTATTTCCCTTATATTTGCCTTTAAAAAAATGGATAATACAAAAATGATTATGACACATCAGGACAATAATATAAAGAAACAGCTATTTGAACTCCTAAAATGAATAACTTTAGGTGCTTCCTCGAAGTTTATTGTCTAGGTAAGGAGCGCTCTGCAAGGTTCGTTGACGTTTTAGCTTTGAATACAACAGAAAAGGAGGCAGTTATAGTGAATCCCATGATCAGCTTTATTAAACAAATGAAAAAAATATATGGATGAGTTCAGAGAGAGAGAAACTTGTCAGTTAATTTCTGAAGTAGGGACCATGAACTCCTCTTGCTACAACTACAACTGATTCCTTGCACAGCCGAGATGCAGGCAATGCATACAGAGACTAATATTTTAGATTCATTTAGAATCTCCCATCACATAACATATTAATTTTTGCCTCGTCTTATTTGTTTCTGTATGATGTTTTTTTTTTAATATTTGCTAAGGTCATGGTCTAATGATCCTAACTGACTCTTTAGTTTTGGTTTTAACTGGGGGTGTTGTGATCTCGTCCTCGTCGTGCCCCTGGATAACCAACCAAACAATCACATAGTCGTCAGACGCCCAGTTTTACCTTTCTTAAGGCCCTGACAACTTTACGTTAATGGATGCAGACCACCTAAACAAATGTCCTGCTTTGTCGGATATTAGGAATAAAACATATGTAAACGATTATACAAAAAAATCAAACTTATACTGGGCAGCAAGATGTCGGATGGTCGAATGACCAATGACTATGGCATAGGTTATAAGTTTATAAGACTATGGCATAAGTTTTGGTTTTAAATAATATCTCTTGGACTGATGAGTATGCTATTTAGCAACTCAACACAGTTGAGCAGCCATGCAATAGTTCTCTCTCTACTATATAAGTATTTTTATTTTTTATTAAATATTAAAGCCCTACAAGTATATATATATATATATATATATATATATATATATATATATATATATATATATATATTTACAAATTTTCTTCAATTGACCTTTGAGTATTATATTTTAACATAATTATTTAATTCGGAATAAGGTCACTTAATAATTATTCAATAAACTACTACATGTTCATAGCTTCTGTGTTTATACAATGTTTCGATCCTCGTTTTTTATTAGTTAACAATGGGATCCTCTTCAAAGTTTTAAAATAGAGCCTCGATACCTTGGGCCAGGAACACACCAACAGCCTCAGAACCGTCCACCATCACATATACTAAGCTACTGTAGTTAAATATACGTGCAGGTGGACGGTGCTGAGACTGTCCACCATCACATATAATAAGCTACTGTAGCTAAATATACGTGCAGGTGGACGGTGCTGAGACTGTCCACCATCACATATAATAAGCTACTGTAGCTAAATATACATGCAGGTGGACGGTGCTGAGACTGTACACCATCACATATAATAAGCTACTGTAGCTAAATATACGTGCAGGTGGACGGTGCTGAGACTGTCCACCATCACATATAATAAGCTACTGTAGCTAAATATACATGCAGGTGGACGGTGCTGAGACTGTACACCATCACATATAATAAGCTACTGTAGCTAAATATACGTGCAGGTGGACGGTGCTGAGACTGTCCACCATCACATATAATAAGCTACTGTAGCTAAATATACGTGCAGGTGGACGGTGCTGAGACTGTCCACCATCACATATAATAAGCTACTGTAGCTAAATATACGTGCAGGTGGACGGTGCTGAGACTGTCCACCATCACATATAATAAGCTACTGTAGCTAAATATACGTGCAGGTGGACGGTGCTGAGACTGTACACCATCACATATAATAAGCTACTGTAGCTAAATATACGTGCAGGTGGACGGTGCTGAGACTGTCCACCATCACATATAATAAGCTACTGTAGCTAAATATACGTGCAGGTGGACGGTGCTGAGACTGTCCACCATCACATATAATAAGCTACTGTAGCTAAATATACGTGCAGGTGGACGGTGCTGAGACTGTCCACCATCACATATAATAAGCTACTGTAGCTAAATATACGTGCAGGTGGACGGTGCTGAGACTGTACACCATCACATATAATAAGCTACTGTAGCTAAATATACGTGCAGGTGGACGGTGCTGAGACTGTCCACCATCACATATAATAAGCTACTGTAGCTAAATATACGTGCAGGTGGACGGTGCTGAGACTGTACACCATCACATATAATAAGCTACTGTAGCTAAATATACGTGCAGGTGGACGGTGCTGAGACTGTACACCATCACATATAATAAGCTACTGTAGCTAAATATACGTGCAGGTAGACGGTGCTGAGACTGTCTGTGTGTTCCTGGCCCGAGGCATCGAGGCTCTATTTTAAAACTTTGAAGAGGATCCCATTGTTAACTTATAAAAAAACAGGATCGAAACATTGTATAAACACAAACATTTAGTAGCTCATTGAATAATTAATAAGTGACCTTATTCCTAGTTCAATAATTATTTTAATATATATATATATATATATATATATATATATATATATATATTTCTGTTCATGTTACTCCAATGACTAACATTTAATGTGATAAAAATGTCCAAGTTTAATTTTTTAAATTTTGATATAATATTAATTTTTCAGAATGGTTTACTTTCATTTACAGTGTACAGTTAACATTGCATGTAATTTATTTAGTTTAAATTTTCTTTACCCTTTTCATGAATTAATTTTTTAATTGAGTGTTATCAATTTATTTATTTAAAGAGCTTCAAGTTTATTCTATTATTCAGCTCACTGTCATGTTTAATTTTGGTTTACTTTCTCTGTTATAATTTTTGTCTTGTATTTATTGATTTATGCTAATCCTAGTTTTGGTTAATTATTTTTTTAAATTTTTAACTAGATGATGAATTAAAAATTTGTATTACTTATTTTCCAATAAGGAACGAGAAAGGAGGAGGCAGCACATGGGTCTCGTGAAGGCGTTGGAAGTTCGAAAGAGGTTGGAGGAGAGGGAGAAGAAGAGGTTGGAACAAAGAGCAGAGAAATTGGCTACTCGAGAAAAACGAATCGAACAAAGAAAAGTTGAGGTAGAGCTTCTCAGAGAGCTGAGGAGGCCTGTCGAAGATATGGAACTGAGTGGTATGCTAACATGTTCCTTTTAAAATGTAGATTATTAGGTAAATTATGTTTATTTTTATTTCCTTTGTCCCGACATATGGACCTAAGTTTCTGGCCTTCAACAGGACTTAAAAAAAGCAAGGTAACATACAAATATTGTGGAACTATTAAGACAATAAAATTAATAATATGTAGGTGAAAGATATAGCCTAATAACTACCTACATGTTATTATTCTATATCTTTTACCTACATACTTTTACTATTGCCGTCTACTAATTTCTCAATATTTATGTGTTATATTGTCTTTTCTTAGCCCTCATGAAGATCTGTAACTTATGCTGAAACGTCCGGGACAAAGGAAATAAAAATAAATATAATTTATTTATTTTTACTTTGTATTTTCAATGATTGAAAACCTCAACCCAACCAACTTCTCTTCAATAAACCTCTGATAATTTAATTGTTTGATGTTTTAATTTTTGTTACAGAGATCAAACCTCTTCCTGATCTGGAAAGGATTCCTGGTTTGAAACTGAGCGGCCAAGCGTTTGCTGATGCTCTCATGACTTTCGAGTTTCTGCATAATTTTGGTGAAACACTTGGTTTTGGTAAGTGGTATTATTTTAAAGAAGTGAATAAATAAAACTATTTGCTAGGACAATCTATTGTATAAAGGTTGTATAAGCCTGATACTGACTGGAAAAGTCTGAAAATACTTCAACTTGTATATGCATTTATAGTTGTTTTTACATGTTGTGGTTAAATATGAGGTATTTTTTCTTCAGAAAATTATATCCTTCTGACAAATGAATGTAAAAATAAATGTACGGATGATTTTAAAACAAATAATCAGTTTTATATGATGAACTGATATAAAACTAATTTCCTTCCTTGTTAAATGTACCATACTAGAAGTTAATTCAGAGATTTTTTTTTAAACTTTTAAATCAATAGAATAATTCAAAACTAATTGGATTGGTGGAAAATTTCTTGGCCATGTTACTTACTGAAAAGTACTAATACTGTTCTTTAAATCCATGACTAACAATGAGATTTACTTACATGACTTCATATTTCTTCTCAAATGAAACATTATTTGTTGAAATTATTTTGGAATATGGTCAGTGATGCAATATATCACACAAATAAGTTTTTATCGACAAACTTCTCTTATGTTTAGTTCTACTGTCAACAGTACCTCCACCATTGTAAACCATTTATATTTTATTTTATTAATATGATTGTTAAAAGTAAAATACTTTTTTTTTTTAGATACGGAATCATTACCTACACTTAATTCACTCCAAGAAGCTCTTCTGGGTGAGAGCGAAGAAGCTGAGGAAGAACTATTGTCTGTGATAACACAATTAGTGATATGTGGTATTGAGGATCCCGGTATCCCACACCCCGCGAGGCATACGACCCTGCTAAGTCATAGCCTAAGGCAGGCCGATATTTCTCATAGCAATCTTTCCGAGATATTGAGGATATACCTTTATGCCAATGCAACTGGTGAACTTAAAGCTACCACAGGTAATACATATTTCAATATTTCTGTTTTTTTTATTTTAAAATATAAATTTTGTTTTATAACTTCAAACTTTGAAATATGAGGATTTCCTTTTCCGGTATTTTTCCTTTGCTATTGATAAGAAAATCATTATATTTTCAACTTGCTGCCCTATATATACCTATAATACCTAATGATATAATATAATATGGAATAAATAATTAAATAGTTGTATTTTGATCGATATGAAATTTTTATTTTTTAACAGGTGTTCATTTCGAAAGAGAACGTGAGAAACGTGTAACAGAACACCATAATAATATGGGTGAAATACCATTAGATGAAACCCTTGGAAAGAATTCTGCGTTCTTCAGTCTTTTAAAAGAAAATAATACTTATAAAATGTCGGAATGGTTAAAAAAGCGCTCATTCCTATCGCTTAATCCAACTAAAAAAGCTGCAATTCTCGCATTTTTGTGCCATGAATTACTTCAGAACAAAGCAGTCATTCGGCAAATTGATTCTGCTATTGAAACAGTAGCTCAGCTGAAGAGGGAGAGATGGCCTATTGAAGCAAACTTGAGGAAGTATGTATTAAAATTTACTTAAAAATTGGGATTAATTGTATTTTTAAAGATATATTATGAAATTTTTTGTTAGTATTTTGTGATGGAAGGACTTACATGTTTATTCTCTAGGTTGAAACATCTTCAAGCGAGGAAAAATAAGACATTAGGAATTACTGGTATTGAAAAGCAGGAAGTCAACGAAGATGATGCAGAAGTCGAGAGCTGTAACGAAAGTGACATAACACAGCCTGAAGATGTAAGTTTAATATTTATTGAAATTCACAACTGTATAAGAAAATTTGTATGGACACGTAATTTGTAGATATGTGTTTCAACCTGCAACATATTGAGTATTAAGGTCTTAATCGATAATTTTATTTATTTTTTTTTTTGTGGCCTAATGCACTGCAGCCTTGAAGGCCAATTGTACTTCATAACTATGCCGTTTTATATTGAAATATGTCACATCTGTATATATATTAGGCTTATAGGAGTAATAAGCTCAGAGCCTTTCAGCTATAGTCTAAGCCTGGCGAACCTGTCATACAGACAGATAATGTGGAAGATTTTTTTTGTTCTCTTGGTGACAGAATTAACACAAGGGACTCTCAGTCAGCCTGAGGTTGATAATTTTATAGTTTAGCTCAGAGTGACCTGTAAGAGCTGCTCTATCCAGTTTGAGTAGTAGGAATAGCTCCTTGGAGGAACAGCTTTGAGCGGCGTACCTTGTCGGACCAGTACTGTTTGAATTTAGCACTGTATATTTCTCTGACTCTCCTTTTGCCGAAGCTCAAGCTTATACCACATACAGGCTCAGGAGTTATGGGAATAGTCTCTGAGCCCATCCTTGTTAGTTTAATGGCCTCCTCATTGCCTATGCTCCAAATGACCTGCTACTCACTCAATGGCTACCTTGTTATGTTATGTACAGTAAGGCTGTTGAGATTTGTACTGCAATCTTTAACAATCTGCGAATAAGTTATTTGTAGTATAATAAGAAGTATTTAGGATTCTATGAAAGATCTTTTTTTGTAAGTGTTCGATGAGAGAAGAATTTGATTAAAAGTGGATCCCTTTGTGCGGATGGCTGATTGCTGGCCCCTGCCTATTCACTGCAGCACAAAACAAATGTTTTCCAGTGCTATCAATAAAAGAGCAAGAAGAAAAAATTTGAGAGATTGTGGTGATATATCCCAGACAGCATCGTTCGACTCTAAAAAGCAAATGTGTTATTTTTAATAAACCAATTATGAACTTCTAGTTATTTTTTTTTAGAACTTGCTAAACATTTCATTTTTATGCCTAATTAAAAAATTCAATCACTTTCACTTTTAGTAACTTTTTAATTATAGATTTAAAGATACAATATGTATTCTCATACATTTAGTGCATAAAATGTATCACACATACAAAAAAAAAAATTAAAATACAATACAAATCTGAATTGTAAACCAATATGTCTTATTTTGATATATATAAAATTATTTTTTATGATTATCATTTTTATTTTTAGGAGGAACTTTCTAGAATACAAGTAGGAGAAAGTTTAGCCGTAGTTAGCAAGCAGGCAGAAGTCAATACCAAAGCCCTGCTTGGTGAGAAAGCTCTTTTAGTATTTTCTATTAATTTTAAATTATCAAATTTAAATATAAAATTAACATTATTGTGGGTTAATGGTTGAATTTCATGAATAATGGAGAGAAGGATTGTTGGTGTGATCAGTCAGAAATAAGAAGGCAAAAATAAATAATAATATTTATTTTAACATTCGTCTATGATTCGACCTGAAGTTCAGGGCTATAGAAAGAACCAGATAACAAGGTATGAGAAACATAAAGAATGTAGGTAAAAAAAATTAAAGTAAAATGAAGTAGTTAGAATAACGACAATAGTAAGAACTAAGAGATAAATAATAATAACTGTTATCCATTATCCACACTTTGTAACGGTTATTATTATTTGTCTCTTAGTTCTTTCTATTGTCATTATTCTACCCACTTCATTTTACTTGTAATTTTTTTTACCTACATTATTTATGTTTCTCATGCCTTGTTATTTTGTTCTTTTCTTAGCCCTGATGAAGGCCTCAACTTCAGGTCGAATCATAGACAAATGTTAAAATAAATATTATTATTTATTTTTGCCTTCTTATTTCTGACTGATCACCCCAACCATCCTTCTCTTCATTAAAATTAACATTGATGAATGTTTGCCTGCAGTAAATATTATTAATGATAAGTATTCTTGCTTATTCATATTCTTTTTGGTAATTTTCAGATTATGGCTCCAAGTTACGTGCTGTGTGCGTTGGTCAAGACAGGTATTGCAGAAGGTACTGGTGCTTGAGCACTGGGATCTATGTAGAAGCTTTGGAATCAGCCGATCCTGAACTTTTTAATGTAAAAACTTATTTTCAAGTAACTCTACATTATCCATAAATTCGTTTGGTTTTTGTTAGAAGTGCGATTGTTTTTTATTATGTCCAGTTCTCTTTGTCTAATGTGACAATAATGATACTTATCAGAAAAGTCAAAGTCCACTCTTTGAAACAATTGTGTTTGGTTTCATTGGCATTAGTTTTGTTTGTTCTACAGTGTAGTGAATATGGCCAATGACAAAGTGCATTTTCGGCATTTTTTTTTTTTTATTTCCAAAAAGGCAAGCGAGGTTCGGAGACCCACCAAAAGATATGTAAGATATATGAGAACAACGCCTTAACAAAAATGGTTTTTCAAGTTTTGTTCTGGAGATATGAGTCTCGAAGATATACTCCGCAGCGGTCAGCCCACCGAGGTTTAGTCGAGTGATTCAAGGCCCTATTCAAACAGGGCCAGTCGCTAGAGGTATGAGAAATAGAGGAGACACTGAAAATAGGTTTTGGAATTGTTCAAAGGCATTAAAAACAGTTTGTCTAACTGTCAATATGCAGCTCTCTTCTAAACCGGTTCGAAAGGGCCCCATTTCATAATCCAATAGTGACGGGTGGCGAAAAGTGGATGTCTGATGACATCCAGGAGGCTAGCATACATCCGAAAAAGATTTTTTTCCATTATCGTGGGATTATCGCGGCATGCTTTCTCCATATGGCGGGATTATCGTGGCATGCTATTTTACTCCTTGCTTTCAAAAGGAAAAAAACAAATGAATCGTAGATCTACTGCACACAGCTAATGAAATTGGACTAAGCATTGAGACGGAAATGTCTAGAACTCGTCAATTGCAAAGGTGTTGTATTCTATCATGACAACACCTGACCACATTCCGCAATAATCACACAGCAAATGTTTGTACAATATGGCTGGGATCGTATGGAATTGGCCTTACATCATCCAACTACCACTTATTCTGTTCCCTCCAATACTCCTTCAATTGGAAATCATTCATTGATGAAAGATGTGAAAACTAGGGTGTCCAGCGATCGGGAAAACTGGGAATTGTATGATAATTCCTTAAACTGGGAATTGGATAGGAATTTCCAGAAAAAACTGGGAACTTATAAATTTTTGTTTGCTGCTTTTGTGACAAAATAAATGATCTTGTATTTACTTACGTAATTAAGAATATTGTGTCGTATTCACTGAATCTCAAGAATAAATATTTTTATTAATTATTAAACAGTCTTTGAACAGTCACATCGTGGCGGTATTTTTCGAGAACGTACTATTTTCGAGATAACGCTTGGGGCATAGGGTTCGTATCCACACAACCTTACATTAATTGTAGTACTGTCATTGAGTACATGTCTCATTTCGTCGACTTGAGGTCTCCATGATCGAGAGAGGAGGAGTTTATATTATTTATCGATGGTGTTTTTGATCGGCAAGCCATATCATCGTCAATTTTTCACCAAATCTCAAGATTGAGCCACCAATTGTAAAGCTTCCTTCTCCTTCAGGCAGGCAAAATAGTCCAATCACCCCAAAAATTCAAGCAAACAAATTATGAAAGAAAAGAAACTAAAAAATAACACTTTTCCCTTGCTTATATACATGATAACATAAAAGATTACTAAATTTCCTACAAAAGAAAAAAAAAATCATCGAAATCGGACAATTTTTAGCAATGGTACAGCTTATTAAAATTTGTAAACATGATGGTTCAAAACATAAATGAAGTTTTACATTAATTTTTGTTTCCTTTGTAGATTATATTTATCAATAAGGTAACAATTGATTTCTTTATCTTTTGATACGTTGCATTATTTTATTTTCTTATTAATTTGGCATTTGATCATTTAACAACATGCTGTGCGAATTTTTCGCATTGGCCTACTTGTTAATAATAATAAGGCTTAGAGAACTCGAAGGTTTGATGCCGATACTACCAATCGATGTCTACATTCTTCTATCCACCGGGCTCGGTCTAAACCCAACCCTGCCAGATCAGCCTTAACGCAATCTTCCCATCTTCATTTTGGTTTACCCCTCTGACACTTGCCAATCAGTACAGAGCTTATTAACTTTTATGTAAAGATTTTACATGCTCATTCTATTCGCCTTAACATAATCATCTCAATTTTATTAACTGGATACAGTTCACACAATTCAGCATTGTGTAACTGCTAAATTCTCCTAACAAATTTCCTTGGATAATTTTTTATTCATTATAAAATGACTATAATTAATTATGTATTGTTAGGATTTTCAGTAATTTTTTAAAAATAATTTCTATTAAAAATTTTTATTGCAGATCATCCTAGAAATTTTTTAAAGAAGTCAACAAAAACTCTTCTCTAAATTATTCAGTTTTAAAATTTTGTCTATGCACAGAGACTCAGCTGTATTAAATATGATACAATTTTTTTATATTACTTTTTTATTTCCCGGATATTTGTATGTATTTAAGAGTAATATTTTTTTTTTATTTATTATTTTTAGAAACCTGAGGGAAAGATAGAAGAAGTAGAGGAACCTGTTAAAATGGAAATGGATACGAATGATGATGAAGATGAGGTTAATGACCATGAGGAAGAAAAAATGGATGACAGTGGAATCTCGGTGAAAGAAGAAATTAATTCTAAAGAAGGCGATAATAATAAAGAAAGATCACCTGTTAAAGAGGAGGATTCCAAAGATTTTGAAAGTCCCGAGAAAGCACCCAGTCATAAATCACTTCAGGTAATTAGTAGAATTATGTCATCATTAATAATCTGAAATTAATAATTATTTTTGCTGATTTAAGTTACTCAACATCAATTTCACTGAAATTTTTACTATCTATTTCAAACTATTTATTATCTTAGATCATATTTACTCATGATCTACTAGATGTTGATTTAAATTAAATAAAATTATCACATAGCACTATTATGTCCCTTCTTCCTACAAGAGTGATCTTAAAATGTCTTTTCTTCTAGTAGAATTTTAATTAATTATCAGATAATTTTAATAATATGAATAACACTTAGTTGTCGAAACAGTAGATCAGGTTTAAAAATTGTTGGTACAGGACCAGGATAGCAGGTTTAAAAATTGTTGCTACAGGACCAGGATAGTGGACTCCTGTTCTACATTGTTTAATAGTTAAAATCATTTTAGTATTCAGGATGGTGACTGACCTGGAAAACCAGAAAAAATGTGAAAAGTCAGAGAAAAATTGTTAGGAAATTTTTTTAGTATATAAATATTTTTTCAAATTGGAAATAAATATATAATGTATATCGTTTATAATGACCTTAAAGAGATAAACTTCGTTGTTATAAACGACCACAGTCGATATATTCATCCATCTTTGACTGTCAATAACGGTACTGATCATTATATTGAAATCAAATTAGGTATTGAATAAAATTCAAGCAAAATGGACTCTTAAAAAAGTGGCTTTTTGAAAAGAAAAACATACCAACGTTATTTACTATTTGTAATATATACATCTATGGACATATTTATTTTTTAAAATAATGTAATGAAAATCTTTACAGTAATTCTGTCTAAAGATAAACATCCATTAGAACATTTTTCAATCTTAAATCCGATTGAGCATTAACTTTCACCCATTGAATTGAGTATGTTGTCATGATAATTCTCATGAACGGTCAGGTAAACTTTTAAACTCCATTTGTTGGTTAACTGAAAGAGAACGCTGGTAGTTTCACAGCTATTTTTTTTAAAAATTGTACTGTCTCTGGAGCAGAATCTTTGTATCCATACTCACAAAATATTAGTTTAAAGTTCATCAAATGGGTCACGAAATGTATAAAAATATTTGTTAGTCTTTTTGAATAAAATCTGCGTTAACCCTGATAGCAGAATATTCAGAACTACTGATTTTGTCGTTATTTATTACAAATGTCTTTCATGTATAATAAATAAATTTATTTATAAATTATACATTTTTAATATTTGTGTCCCTAGAAATATTGGTCCGAGAAAACTACCAAAAAGTAGGAAAATGTCAGGAAATTTTACTTAAACTATCTGGTAGCATCCTGGTATTAGATTACTTAATATTTTATTATGGTAAATTATTTATTTTAGGAGATTTTTATTTTTAATCTGTAATTCTTTTCAGTTTGAAAGGTTGGGAGAATGCATGGAAAAGGAGTCGAACGCCATGAATGGCTGTATATCACACGTGAATAACACCAGCAGCCAGGAAGATGTGCAGTGGTTCAGCATTCTGCCCAAGGAACCCTGTGACTCGACCAGCTTGACCTCTTCTCAACCTGGATTCAGGTTTGTTTTATTATTTCATTATTATAAAACTGGATTTGTTGATTGCAATAGAACAGTAACCTTATCAGAGTTAATTAGTACTGAGACAGCAAAGTTAAACAAAAGAGGCAATAAAAAAAAAAAAAAGTGGAAAGCAAATGGGTATTCATGAGTTTTTTGTATCTTATTAAATAGACAAAGTTTTCCAATCTACAGATTGAAAATGCGCTAATTTCGAGAATTGTCGTAAATAAAATATTGAGATCAAGCTATTTACTAAGTTTCAGGAGGATGTTAATAACTTGATAATATGATTTAATTTAAGTCTGCAAAAGATCGTTAAATTTGTTTTAATAATTACAAAGTCAGTTACTCTTTTTAGTTTTACCGAACATAGTGTTAATAAATAACTTGATATTAATAAATAATATCTATTATTATTTATCATTGTGTTTTTACCATAATATAAAATATTCTAGCTCCTTTTCTATTTAGATGTTGGTCTGAAACCGGAGAACTGCGAATCCCTGTGCCCCAGGGTCAATATTCTTCACCATGTCCTTCGCCATTGCCTCTTCCTTTGTCTGCGGAAGAAGCTGCCCTCCTCGACCACTGTAAGACTTACGGTCTACCAAAACCTGGCACTCCAAAGCCAATACCTGAAGGTAATTATGTCCGTAGTCTTAATATAATTTTCTTTTATTTCTGTATCATATAATATTTCAGTTCATATTTCATTAAGTCAATTGTATACCAATAATGTTTTTATTTCCTATCCTTATTTTTGAACGGCGATGTTTTGGCTCATCGATTTTCAAGTCTAAAAACGAATTTTCCATATTACAGTTTTAACTTTTAATTTTATAATCTTTATTTTATATGTATGTTTCTCACAATGAAAAATGCTCATTTATATATATACATTCTACTTACCTAAATAATCTTTTATATAATCTCTGCTTATCTTTAAAACAATTTTTAAAAATATAATTTACAACAATTACTTGCTATTCCTGTTTACATAATGTCTTTTTCTTGAAAAACAATTCAATTTTTATCATCATTTATTTTCCATGTCAAATAGACAATGGTCACTTTTTTTTTAAGAGACAATTTATATCTAATTCACATATAAAATTATCAAAATACTTGAAGACAAACAAATAATAAATTAAAAGATCCAAAAACACTAATTCACTTTAATAAATCTGATGCAGTGCTCACATCACACACCTTTTACTTACCATCTTCTTAGCAGAAATAATTTTTTTCAGACAAAAGGGAAGTGAAAGTAAAAAATTATAGACTCTCTATTTATTTATATTTCATTGTGGATATTTTTATTCGTATAAGTACCCTTATATATGCAAGTTTTAATATTTACATCGCAGTAATCTGTACAATTAAATATTATATTGTTACGGTCTTTAATTTGGAATAAATTGTTTCCGCAACAAACTTGTCGGGTGCTCAGTGGAGACGGCAGGGTTCGCAAAAAAAATAAATAAAAAAATAATCAAGAGTCAATTAAATATTACTAACTATCTAACGAGTGCCACGCTATTTAATTGGTTGAATTTGGAAAATAGCGAAAACCATAAAAATAAATAAATAAATTTAATTAAAAAAAAACATTAGGACGCGGAGTGAGCTACGAACTCGGAACCTATGGGTTTAAAAACATATGTTAATTAACCTCATAACCTGTCGAACCTTCTTACTTGGTTAATAATGACTTTCCCTAATCCCTCGAATAGGGTTTTACAGTTCCTTATTAAACCTAAAAAAAACAATATAATATATACATAAAACGTGAAAACAAACTGAAGAAAAAGAAGAAAATAAAACTGGCTATTATTAATACTAATGATGAATTTACTTATTTCTATTGATTTAAATAACTGTTAAAGGAAATAAAAAATTATGAACAAGAAATCAGATTCATAAGAAAACAAAGAAAATACAATTAACTTAATTATCAAAGAAAAGAATACAAAATTATTATAGAACTAAAAATTAAGTTACGACTATACAATAAACCAATTACAAATATTTGGGGTCACAAAAAATAGATAGGAAAAAAACTTATATGTACATCTTTACAATATCCCACTGGCTGAACTCAGTCCAATTGGTACATTGGGTTATCTAAAGAAGCGGGAACTTATTCGAACTAATGTCGTCAAGGTCTCCCCAGTCTATCTCCTCAAGCTGTCAAATGTTCAATCACCAACTTGTAAAATCAAACGGCACTCGTCGCTGATAATCACAGGTTCATGGATAGGAAAAGAAAATGCGGTGTACACCGTAAAACTAAAGTATTTCACACATAAAAATCCTTAGTGTGCCTCAACACTCGCGAGGTTCCGCCATCTCTCTCTAAAACTGCCTTTTGTTTTTCCTCCTAATCAGCTGTTGATTATTCCAATCCGAAATAAAATGAATACTTAAAACTAAGACTTATTATAAACTAATACCTATTATTAAAACTAATACTAAATACTTAAATTTATATTTAAGCCTCTTCGAGTTAATAATAAAACTAGCAATTATTTTACGAACTAATTTTTTTTGTATTTCATTTTTTGTTACAATATAATACCAACAATAGCATTTATAAAAACCGCATATATATATATATATATATATATATATATATATATATATATATATATATATATATTTATATAATATTGTTGAATTTCACATTATATTAAGTTCATGTTATGTATGGAAGCGTGTTCTAATCTTTCAGGCAAGCTTGGGTGTGCTTATATTCCTTTGGTTCCTAAATTAAAACTATTCTCCAAGAAATTATTATTTCTCCTTTAGTTAATTATGAATTTTTTCATATTTTGTATTTAGCTATATTTTATATTAGAGATTAATGTGAAATGGTCAATGGTTTCAAATAAAAAAAAATAAAGGTACTTCAGGTGAAGCTAATATTGAAAATTAGCCATTTAAGACCTGTTAGAGAACATTAATCAGAATAAAACCTGAATTATATTAAAAACTGCTTAATTTTACGCTGATATAATGGATTTCATCTAAATCGTTAAAGCTGTTTTCGAGAAAACCGTAGAAATGTGTTTAGTCCATGATATAAAGTGCTATTTCTGGCTAGCCAATTTTGATGAAAAAGTTGCTTTAACTTAAAATAAAGCATATAAAAACGTTAAATATGCAATTTCACTTTCATACAACTTTTCGTTTTTGAGCTAGACTGTTAACACACACACACCACCATTTTTCGGGTCTTGGCTATTTGGACTCAGGGGACCTCTGTGTATTTCCGTTGAAAACTGAGATTCGAAAATTTTCTCGATCCCAATACTTTCTTTTTTTAAGTGAGGTACTTAAGACTGCTGAGCACATTTTCATAAACTGCACCACCTTTGAGTCGCTAAGGGCCAAATTGATGAGGAAGTCTATAATAATATAGGTAAGTAAAAGTAAAAATTTATACAATTAATACCTGTTATTTATAACCTGTTTCAATATAAATTATTACACTATATTAAAACAATATATTATCTAATTTATTTATTTTACCCTTTTATTTGCAGTTTCACTAAAGGTAAGTAGAGATTATATAAAAGATTATTTATTTGAGCAGAATGTATATAGATAAATGAGCATTTTTCAGATATGCTATTGATGGCCAAGCACCACATATAAAATAAAGTTTATAAAATTAAAAGTAAATTGTGGGACAGGGAATCGAAAAAACTTGTATTTCATTAACATAGTTATTTACAATATTTTTTGTTAATTTTTCTTGCATAATTGTTTGTAGAGTCATTTATATAATTAAAAAACACTCATGTATGTTAAAAACACAAAATTTATATTTACCTATCATGGGTGATAAATATTCAGGACGCAATCTTTTTTAAAATTTTTATTTTTGCCAACGTTTCAACCCAAACATGTGGGTCATCTTCAGGGCGTGGTTTGAGCACTGAGGTTGTACATGAACAACCTCAGTGCTCAAACCACGCCCTGAAGAAGACACACATGTTTGGGTTGAAATGTTGGAAAAAATAAAAATTTTAAAAAAGACTGCGTCCTGAATATTTATCACCCATGATATGTAGAACAGGCGACTAACTTCTGCCAAATATTTACCTATCATGTACTAGTTGACTGCATTTCTTATGTAAAAACATGTCATGTGTCTTCTTATAACAACTTAGCTGTCATAATCGTTTTACTTATTTGCATCTATTATTTTAATTCATCATAATTAAATTTATTGTATTAAGATATTTGAAAAATATTAAAATATTCTTTTATATATCAGCTCCCATATTATCAGTTCAATTATTACTGAGCGACTAGTCAATATTATAAGAGTGAGGAAGGTTTATGAAAATTATATTTTTATATGTTACTTGTTTAGAAGCTATGTAGATCTATTTTGAGCAATGTTAGGAATTAATTTAAAATTTTTATTTTTCAATAAAAATAAATAAAGAAATATTTTTATTGGTGTACAATTGGCTTAATGGAATATAAACTGAAATATTTCCATAATGTTTTATTATTTTTTTTATATCTCATGATATCCTAGTACTTAAGTATGAACATTGATTCCAACTTCACTTATATGTTCCCTTCTTTTATGAGATTATAAAATGTATTAATATAAATTTTCTTTATTTAGATTTGAGGAGAGGTTGGTGGAGGATATCTATGGACAAAATGAAAGAAGTTGCAGCCAGGCTAGAGCCACGTGGTGTAAGGGAGCGCGAATTCATGGCCAGCATCACTAGGATGCGAACAGAACATGCTTGGGATTCAACTCTGAAGGTTTGATTGTCATTTTACTATAAATATTTCATTTTAACTAATAATCCTTGTCATATCAGTAACCTTGAAAAGTTATTAAGAGCATGTTGAGTCTTTGATTGCTATGTTAAGGATACAACTTATACTCCCTCCTACCATTGACTGTTTTTCTGACCACAACTCATATTCCTCCCCAATTTAGGGACTCTATGTAGTCACTGCACTTATATATTTGTCTTTTGTAGAAATATTTAATTTATATTATTTTTAATAATTACACATTAAATTTTCTTTTTTCTTTTGTCGCTGGGTTAAAATCCAGATTAAGTTTTATGATTAATATTCTGTTTACGCCTTTGTTTTTCTATTCATGTTTAATATTATAAATAAAGCTATAATTTATTAATGAATGTATACATTATAATATACCTAACTATTATAGTTATATATCTTACACTTCTCAGGTGTACTCAATCCAACAATACTTTTGTTTATTATCAGTGTTGTTTTATTTTCAAAGTTGAATAACAAATTGTACAACTAGAAACAATTTGATTAATAAAACTTAATTTAATATTTTGAGGAGTAATTAACAGAAAGCTATCAGCTACACTTGTATCATAATCTGGAAATGTTTTAGGTTTGTACTACTTGCGGAGATCCCCGGAAATGCAACTTCAAAATCAAAGACGGAGACGATGGTAAAGTACCAGAACCCGACGCTCCCGATTCTTGGAACAGAGAAGTGGCATTAAGGGTCGATCTAGCAGCCTTGGTTGCTGTTGAAGCACTTGAAGAAAAGGTGGCTTCGGCTAGCATGCAATTGAAGGTAATTTATTTAAGAAATATAGATTTATCTAAGAAATAAAAAGAAAAATATTTTGATTGTTATCTATTTAGTTATGGATATTTTCCTATACAACTTATGGATTCTCATTCTCTTCCTGATCTGATTTTTGGCCATCTGTTGTCTCCCACTATCAAGATGGAGCCAAACCATAGAAGCCTCCAAACCATAGAATATTATATAAATAATTTTTTTCTTGTCCTATATTTTATCTAATTGTACTATTAGATATATGTTTAACCTTGTGATACAGCAGCTTCTTCTTACAAAATCTGTCTCCAAAACTGATAGTTTTTGGTTTTTGTTTTGTTGTGCAGGCTTCAATTCTTTATAGGACTGTTGCTAGTAGAAATGTAATTACAGTTAATAATTATAAAACTAATATTATCTTTTATCTCTAATCTGTTGTTTAATCTCATAAACAACATGAGATTATCCTTTCTTATTCTTTAAAATCTTAATCCTCTAAAATCCTCTTCTTACTCTTTAAAATCCTCTGGACCATGAACTTGGTATTCAGTTTTATTTATTACATCTATTATGTGTATTATTCCCTGGCTTTTCCGTATACTCTCCCATCTTATTCTCTACATTGTTTAGTCTAACTTTAAATATTGTCTAGCATTATCCAACTTCGTTAATTCATTAGCTATTAACATTTATATTATTTTTTAATCGCTGATGTCATTTTTTCAGCTTTGAAGATGGTTCACATTGTCTTAGAACACAAGCAATTAAAAAATGACCAGGTTCTGATAAACTTTTACAAATAATAAAATCAGAACTGTACTACAAAAAAAAATTACAAACTTCATTATTATATACAATGATGATTATGTCTTTCATCTACTGAAGTTCCTTGGCATAGTTATTATAAATTTCTATTATTACTAATATTTTAATTTATTAACTATATTTCTATTCTGTTGTACAGGGCTGGAAAGTTCCTGCTAAGTCCTCAACAAGTGATACCCATTTCATTGCGGCTTGCGAAGCAACAGATTCATCTGTGAATCCTATCCAGGTTGCAAAAGAAAGGCTCAGCAACCTTTTTGAGGCTATTGAAAGGCGCTATCTCAAACCTCCACTTGGGCAAAAGTAACTTGTTAAATTTAGTGTATATAAACAGAATTAACAACCTGGCTTAGTGTATATAAATAATATTAATAACAGAGCAAATAACAAAAAAAAGTACCAATTGTATATTGTAAATTGTGTTAGCAGTCAAATTAAAAAAATAAAGTATCAGTTTGTTGTTTTTTGTTTTTAACATCTTTGCTTTTAAATATAATTATATATTAAATAGTTAACTTTACTAATTAATCTAATAGAGTTGACAGTCACATTTAGTCGAGGAAAATTATAACAACTAATGCTGACATTTTGATCCATGTTACATACACAACATGGATCAAAATGTCAGCATTAGTTTTTTATAATTTTTCCTCGACTAAATGTGTCTGTCAACTCTTGTAGATTAATGATTAATTAGTAAAGTTAACTATTTAATATATAATTATATTTAAAAGCAAAGATGTTAAAAACAAAAAACAACAAACTGATACTTTATTTTTTTAATTTGACTGCTAACACAATTCTCTCCTAGATTAATTACTAAAGTAGATTATTCAGTACATAGTTATACAAAGATTTTTACTTTCACTTACCTATATATGAAATAAGTAGTAAAGGAAAGTATTGCGATCGTGAAAATTTTTGTATCCGAGTTATATATGGAAATACACGTTTTGAGATCTCCTGAGTAAAAAAAAACATAATCTTGCAAAATGGTCTGTGTATGTGAACACTCTAGCTGAAAAACTACAAAACTAAAATTTTTTATTTAAAGTTTGTATATAAATGTGATGGTGAAGCAACATTTTTACAATTTTCTCAAAAACAGCTCTAACGATTTTGATTAAACTTGGTTTATCATTGTATAATTAAGTGGTCTTTAATATCATTTAGGTTTTATCTCCATTTATGTCACTTTACAGGGCTTAAATGTCTACTGTTCATATATGTCTTCCTCTAAAGCACCTTGAATTTGATTTATTTTATAGAATTAAATATCTCTCATTACTAATAGTTAAGAAAAATGCTGAATATAACTTTTTAAAGAATTTTTTATATTTTTTTTATTCATTGATATTTACAACTGCATTATAAAAAATACAACTAATAAATGTGCACACAGTAATAATACAATCACATGAAAACGCTTGTTGAGAAACTACCCATTGGTAGCACTCTAATAATATATTTACGTAGGTAGATCACGAGGCCATCTTCTTTTCAGACGTATCGGAGGGTAACGAATTTGATAATTGAATAATGAATAAAAATGCTTATCCAGGTCAAAAATAAATACTAGTCGGAAGGTATACTTATAATATATCGTTGTAAAGCAGAATTAGATATTGTTTTTAGAAAAAACAATATCTAACATATAAAGTCATAGAAAGTAATGGAGAGTGACAAAAAATTATAATATAATAACAATGTTGGAAAACTGATATTATTTACCGAAAATCACATGTTTCCAGGGAAATTAAATGAAATTAACTGACTAAATATAAACTTCTAAAATTTTTTTTAAGTTTGAAAAAGTTAATCAAGGTAATGTTAAACATTGTTAAAAAAAAAAATTGTATTGTACTTGTGTGAGAGAAGAAATGAAATATAAAACCATTTCATGGACATATAAAGCATATGTTTATAACCTTAAATACATTTACTGTGGCTTAATAATTCTAGATCTGATATTATATTTAAATAATTAGGTATCAATGTCCTTTTATTCCAAAAAATCATTATGTAACCTTTTAGAAAATTAAATTAGTGAATAATTTGATGAAATTTCTCTTTGTTAAATCCCAACATTATCAACTTAACATTAGTGTGACAACTTTTGACCTATCTATGGCAGGCAAGGCAAGTCTGGTTTAAATAATTTGGTATCAACGTCCGTTTATTGGGAAAAACTGTCATGTAACCTTCAATTAAATTAGTGAATAATTTGATAAATTTTCCCTTTGTAAAATCCTAACATTATCCACTTATCCACTTATCCAGTTATCCACAATCAGTGTGGAAAACTTTGACCTGTCTATGTCAGGCAGTGAAAATCTTGTAATTTCATTTTAGTAAACTTTACTATGGGAAATAACAGTTTACTAACTAATAGGCAAACAATCCAAAAACAATTTAAAGGTTGAATATACAGATATACTTTCAAATCTCTCTAAGCAATATATATAGGTCAAAGACTGGAGTTATATAGTTAAAAAAACAGATGTAGTAACGAGGTTTTTATTGCCTAGCATTGATGTAATTAATAGGGTTTTTGTTACAGTTAATGATTTGTTAGCTATAAGCTTTAGTTCTGTTGCTCCATTAAGAATCCAATTAAAAAATATTATAATAGCCCAACATTCCAAGAAAATAATTTCTATTCGAAGTAGATGGATAAGTGGAAGTTGTGTGTTGTGCGCACCAGACTTTTAATGTGTAATTTAATTATAACAATATCTGTTGTTGATTTAAATTTTAAAAATTCAATATTTATGTTTTCCACTTTATTATATTTTGTCTCCCTGTGGCCTTAAAGATCTAAAATTTTGGTCATTAGGTCAGCATTAATTAAATATTTTTAATAATGTTTTTCATTAAATATTTAGATGTTATTATATTTTTCTGACTGGAATAATTTTATACAGCATTGGTGATCTTAAACTCAGTAGTAGTTGCAACCCTTCGGAAGATGGAGGCCCCTCGAACGAGAGCAAGGGGCTGACTGTTTGGCGAGAGGCGCTGAGCAAGTCACAGACCGCGGCTCAGCTGTCGATGGTGCTGCACGCCCTCGAGGCTAGCATTGCTTGGGACAAGTCGATCATGAAAGCAGTGAGTCCAACTCCACAAAATGCCCAGACTGTGGGTAATCGCATGAAGCGCTTTTTTATTTACATCTTTTTAATTTACCATAGAATTTAATTATCTTTTTGTTTCATCTAGCTTTATTCTATTTATAGCTTGCATTTTTAACATTTCATTTTTTTTTTTAATCTTGGTTAATTGTGAGCACTGAATTAAAGAATAAATATAAAATTTATATAGCTATATATTGAAAATATATTAATTATCAAAGGTTGAATATAATTAATGAAAATAGAAATTTGTAAAGTGGGTACCCTTAATTGAGGTAAAGAATCAGTTGGTTGAGTGTGATGTGAGACCATAACGGCTGAGCATGTTGATGCTTTGCCCGCTATAACACTCACGAGTCTAACACCACCATTTTAAATCCGTCCTGGGCAGGTTGAAATTTATTTACCGGTGGACCCACAGAACAAATCTCGACCTTTCCCCTTTGGTTTGGCTGTATCTCTAGAACAACTCCACCAGTCATATATACTAGGCGAGGGAAGAAACATATCCTAAATATTGAATCCTTGACCTTTCATTTGTGTTAGGTTTTTTTAACAATGTTATACCATTTGTTAAAGTAACAATATTAATGCAAAATCTTATTTCAGTGCTCACTTGATTAAAAAAAAAAAAGAAGACGAATAAATACAATATAATGAATAATTTAAATAACTAATTATTATAAATTTAAAGCTATTGGTCATAAAATAACAACTGTAGTATGTAGTCAGCATCACTAATTCATAAAATTAGTAATATTTTAAATTAGGTTTAGTGATAGTTTTTATAATCATCATATGAATCTCTGCAAAACATAATCACAAATTTCTAACATTTTTTATTTTATCTTTTGGCTGATAGTAATAATTTAACAATATTGTTTGTTTTGTATGCACAGTTATCTTTATAGTTAGTATTAATGGAAGGTGGTTCAGGTTTCAATAGATTGTAATATTGCTTAAACTAAATTAATTATATGGCTTATAAGTAATTTAAAGTGAATTTAATCAAGGTTATGGTGTTTTTTTTTTTTTTAATTTTCATAATACTCGGTATTCCTAGTTCGTAAGAAAAATATTATGATTGGGTCAAGTTTCCTATATGCCGTTTTAAACAGTTATTTATGTTTCAAATACTTCTGTAAAAAAAAAAAAAACACATTTTTTTTGTAGTGCCAGTGTACTAAACTAGGAGCCTTATAGAAATTGGGAATAGGGGAACAATAGAAAGGATTAAATATTTAAACATACATTAAATTAATATATAGACTTTTGATAATCAATAATTTGAATAAAATTTTGTTTTTGACTAAATTAAAGTTTCCCATTAATGAAAAGCCAAACTTGATTTTTCATATTCATAATTTTCATTGGGCCTATTTATATTTAAACTGAATTAATTATAATTTCAATGTTATCATACAAATATAGGATGTAAACAAAGTTGGAAATAAGTTAGTAAAGTTCATAAAGCTAAACGATAGTTTGAATTAAGATTTTTTGTAATGTATTGACAAAAAAAAAAGGAATTGAAACAGCTACTTTTTAGATAGGTGCTGCATAAAAACTTATGGGCTAGTCATCAATAAGAAAATCTTAATAATCCTTGAAATATCATGCTATTATTGTATGTTCAATGTTATTATTTTTTTAGTAACATTTGACCAGAGCTTTACCTATTAGCTCAAATAGTCGTTTAATCAAACTAGATATTGCTGAAATTCATTCTTGTACTAATTAGCAAAAGTTCAATATAAATAATAACATGTTTAAAATATTATGAAGTGATCTTTAATATCAACCAGGTTTTATCCCCATTGATGTCACTTTACAGGGCTTAAATGCCCAATGTTCACATTCGTTTTCCTCTAAAGTCTTTGTTATGGTTTATTTTTAAATAATTAATCATTGCAGTATTTAAAGTAATGAAAAAATGCTAAAAATAACTTTTGAAAGAATTTGATAACTGAATAGAGGAGAACAAAATAAAAATGCTGGTACTTCTCTCTTAGCGGGTAGAGTCCGACTGCTATCCGCCAATGTTTATAACCTTAACACTGATAAGCTCTTCGTATTCGTATATATTGTATTATATTCATTTTATTATGTGTTCGTATTCATATTGATTGTATTGTATTGATATTATTGAAATTGTGAACAAAAACAGAAAGAAATGTAATAATAAATGCTTTTATTTCACAACGTATATTTAAAAATACTTTTATTTCACAAGGTATATATTAAAATATACCAAAACATAAATATATTGAAAAACATAAATATATACCAAAACATATATATCGTAAAAACATAAATATATAATTAAAAAACATTACGAAAACATTGCAATATATATACAAAAATAAATGAAATAATAAAAATAGGCCAAAAATAGACAAAAAAGGATTAAATAATAAAAAACTACTTTAACAGGATATGTACATATAAAACAAAGATTATGAATAAACGATGGAAACAAAATATGAAAAATTTTATTTTGGTAGGGAAAATAATTTTATCGTATTTAAAATAGCGAGGAAGAGATCCTGATGTTTATGCGCCCGCCGCCACAAAAACTCACATAAATATGAATCCAGGTGTTGTCTGGCAGTTCCTCTGTGTTTTTTATTTCTCCACTTGGCTGAGCCCCATAATCTTTCGATGTGTTGAATATGGACTCCACTTGATGGATCAACAAAATTATATGTGTGATTGACCTGAAAATGGTCGTAGTTTGCTTCATTCAGTTGTTTTGTGTTGTATCCTTTCCAACAGTCGGAATAAATCGTGCTTCCCTCTTCTACATTGTTTTTGATAGCTTCTAATAAAGTCCCTGCTCTCCTATCCTTTATTTTAACTATAAAACACTCGTCTGTTTCTCGGCAAACTCCGCCAAACATCCACTGCTGAGGTAAGACTCTCCCCATATGATTTTTTCTTTTCGAAAAAATACTCTCGTCTACTTCGACGACTTTGCCAGGCCCTCCAATTTTTTTATTCGACCTGTATAACATGTCATGGGCACAAACTTCTCTTAAAAATTTGTTCCATGCTATGACAGTTTGGGTGGATAGTTTGAGCTGCTCTTTCCCCCACTGAATTGTAGTTAAATTATGGGACCACCCATAAATGAATTTTAAAGCCGTCAAAAAAGAAATCCTGGACCCCTCTAACCACGTTCCTTTCCTTATAGAAACGGTTTTGTTACACCTATGAGAGCATCTCCATTTAATCTTCCCGTCGAACTTCATTTTACGACCATCACAATAATCACAATATTTCACCTTATCAAATATACCGGCGTCTTGAAAATATTTGATAGCCTCTTCTTCCGAAGACGGCAATTCCCACAATGTGACAACATCCATAATTCCAGTTGAAACAAAACAACACAATATTAACAAAAGAACACAATATAATACTAAACAACACAATAACTTAAAGAATACTAAAGAACAACTAAACTAAAGAACAAGAAAAACTAAAGAACACAATAACTTGAGAAACGAGATTGGGTCGATAAGGGAGGTTTTCTGAAACAAGATGGTTATCTGAAACGAGATTAGATAAGAAGGAAGGTTTCGACTCTACCCGCTAAGAGAGAAGTACCAAAATGCTTATGCAGGTCGAAAATGAATCTCCGGAAATACTAGTCAGAAGGTATACTTAAATATATCGTTGCAAAAGCGGAAAATTTAGAAAAAACAATATTTAATATCGAAAGTTGTAGAAGGTAACAGAGAGTGGCGAAAAAATTATAAATAATAATTTTTTAAAACTAACATTATTTAACGTTAATCTCATGTTTTCAAGGAAATTAAATGAAATTTATTAACTAAATGTAAACTTTTAAAATATTTTTAGGTTTGAAAAAAATATTTAAAATCCACCTAATCAAGTCAATATCATTGTTTAAAAAACTATAATAATTTCTATTCTGAGTGGTAAGTGAAAGTTGTGTGTTGCGCTAAGTTGTGTGTCTATTTAAATTTAACACTTTAAAATTGAAAAAATATTCAGTTATGCAGGTATAATCTTCATTTACAAAAAAAACTTTTACTTTCACTTACCTATATATGAAATATATAGTAAAAGAAAGTATTGTTATCGTAAAGAAATTTTGAATCTCAGTTTCAACGGAAATGCACGTTTTGAGGTCTTCTGAGTCTAAAAACCTTCTTCTTTCTCTTCCAACTATCTTCCTCTCAGAGTGGGGGTGTTTCCAGCCATTAGTTCCATGCATCCCTGTTCCTGGCAAGGTTCCTCATCTCTTGCAGGGTCTTCCCTCTTCGTCTTCCAATTCGTTCCAGCTGGCTAGCATATGAGGTTCTTAGGCGCCCTCTCGTTCTTCTCCCCACTGGCCTCACCTCAAGGATTTTAATTGGGTCTCTGTGGTGGTCCATCCAGCAGACATGGTTATACCACTTCAGGTGTCTCCCCTTCAGAGTTTTCAACACGGGGCGTATCTTTAGCTCCTCCCTAATCCTGTCATTTCGGACTTAGTCTCTCCGCTTTTTCCCCACAATTCTTCTAAGAAACTTCATTCAAGAAGGCAGTAACTGGCTTTGTAATCTCTCATTCAGGATCCAACCCTTTGCTTGACTTGAACAGATGGAGCTTCTCATCCTGACCCACTTCTTTTTTTTTTCCGATTACGGTATTGCATATCGTATAGTAGATGGAATTTGCTTTTGATATCCTGCTTGAGACTTGGGAATTTACTTTTCCCTACTTACAGGTACCGGAAAGGTAAAGTCTGCCACCACCTCCATCATATCTTCCTTACAGAGGATCCGGATATCCTCTTGAGTTCTTTTTGGGAATATATGGAGTATTTTGCTTTTTTGGGAATTGATGGTCATTACCTTCCTCTTCAATTCTTTATTCCACTCTGTTCCACTGCCTGCTGAAGTCACTCGGAGGAATCTGCAGTAAGAACGATGATATCTGCAAATAGGAGAAACTGTACAACTGCAGTTCCAGCAACAGCAAGTTTCAATGGCCCTT